CCGTGATCGTTCTTTCACTAGTGTATGCTTGGTAGGTTAGACTTCGTAGATGCGGGATTGAAGTTATACCTCCGGATAGCTGCTCTGAGTAAATTTTTGAAACAATTGGTTGAGGAAGAGTTTTTGATAACAATTAGTGCCGCATTAAAATATATCGTCAGGAAGTTTCAAGTCCTTCGGAGCAGATTCATCCCGTTAGTGGGGTGGGCTCCACATTCGACTTCTATTCAGGATCGTGGTTGCATTTTGAATGTGTATTTGACCAAGGGCGAAGGTGATGTAGTGGTAAGTGGCGCAATCACACACACACACACGGTCACGAGTTCAAATCCCGTTTCGATAACCACCTGAACCAACCAAGCCTTCCATCCCTCCGTACCAGACTCGTCTAGCAAGATAAAAGCGAGGACGTGTTCATTGGCTGGCCACCGCAAGTCATCTATAGGCGATACACGCATTCAATTCGTCACTATGACTCTGAATGGGTTCGATTGCGGGGCGCATCCTTCAGACGGGATTGATCAGCGCCGAATGACTTTATCCTTTATCCTTCATGTGGCCTATACAATGCAACGGTGGTCACCCGATGTACCTGTTAATGGTCTATCCTCTTAGACGAGCCTGGTACCAAGTAATTGGCCGCGAAGGGATGGGAAGCTCGGGATAGCCAGAATCCGAGATAGTGTTGTAAGCCACTTGCCACTGAAGCGCTTCCTGTATATATATCTACATCTACGTAAGCTCCAGCTGGTTGTGCTTCTCCAAATCAAGTACGCGCTCCAGATGTGGATAAAGCTCAGTATGTCAAGAATCTAGTGCAGAATTCTTTGATAAATTGTGTTCCAGAACTAGAATGAGTTCCTCTCAAGGATGTAGCAAGGCTGGTTTAATAAGAAAGGCTTTTTTTTCATAGATACTACATGTAATAGTGGGCTCAAACTCGGTTTAAACAGCTAAATGATCATTCACTTTGAAAACCTGATGGTAGTCCCATTGTCAGTATGACTACTTTGAAGCTTACGACCTTTGGAAAAGACGTTCTGAAGTCTGAGACGTTACGAACTGCTCTCCTAAAGACTTTCCAGGATGACTTCGTGATTGACTTCTGTATGCAAAAGACGAAGAGTTAGCATGTGAACACTGCCCAAGCTATAACGTGGAGGTGTATTCTACACATTCATGAACTTCCCTTCTCATCAGTTATCAGGTGTTCACCAATTAAGGTCATTTTGGCAACACGAAGTTGTTATCACTTTGAACACGTGTCACAATGAAATGGTTGTCCCGAGGAGAAGTCGGCAAAAGGAAAAGGACGCGAAGGTTTAGGGTCCCATAAATGATGTTGAGTGATAAAGATTGATAAGAGCGACTGACAAGTAAGTTTGATCTTACACGCTTGGTCCAACCGCAAAAAATTCATTGGATCAACTCCTCAGATTTTATACCGACATCAATGACAGCGGGTAAAGGTGAGGTAGAGTCAAGTGGCGCAGTAACGCAGTCGGATTCCATTTGCTACCCCCTCAGAACAATCCTCTTCTTCTGTGTCGTCCAGTCGGTTCTAGACACGCCTGGGAGAATGAAAACACTGACTTATATAGCGACTTGTATGGGACATTCAAAACGCCACTACTATCGAAGTGAAAATCGAGTACGTGGTGCATTCTAGCAATAGGCACGATGAAGGCTAGAGAGTTTTGTCCTTTGAACCTTTATCATCTTCACTGAGGGATGGCAGTCGATAAAAGTGGTCCCTACTCTGCCAAAATATCTTCTGCAGGATACGGGCATTTCCC